AGTAGTAGTAGTAGTAGTAGTAGTAGTAGTAGTAGTAGTAGTAGTAGTCGTAGTAGTAGTCGTAGTAGTAGTCGTAGTAGTAGTAGTAGTGGTGGTAGTAGTGCTAATAGCAGAAATAGCAGAATTGCTGAGCGCTCACAGCGAGGATTGTAGCTCATAAACCGCTAAACCCTAAACCCTAAACCTGAAGTGGCAAGAGCTCAGATCACGGAAGCATCCAAATTTTGGAGTATGAGCAAGGACGCTCCTCCAATGAGGGGGGGATTGGGGAGGGGGGCGGAGGGACAAGCCCTTCGCACTGCCCCTCCCACCCCCCCTGCCCGTGATCTGAGCTCGAAGCCGTAGACCCGAAACCCCGGACCCCTGAATCTTTAGTACTAGTAATAGTAGTAGTAGTAGTAGTAGTAGTAGTAGTAGTAGTAGTAGTAGAGGAGTGGTAGGAGTAGTAGTAGTAGTAGTAGTAGTAGTAGTAGTAGTAGTAGTAGTAGTAGTAGTAGTAGTAGTACTAGTAGTAGCCACATCCATGCTCGCTCTTTCACAAGACAATGTCGAAGCAAGCGATCCTTTTTCCTGCGGCGGCGACGTCGCTTGTTCGCTCTTTCGCAAGACAGGGTCGAAGAGAGAGAGAGAGAGAGAGAGAGAGAGAGAGAGAGAGAGAGAGAGAGAGAGAGATAGAGAAAGACCCCGGACCCCTGAATCTTTAGTACTAGTAGTAGTAGTAGTAGTAGTAGTAGTAGTAGTAGTAGTAGTAGTAGTAGGAGTAGTAGGAGTAGTAGTAGTAGTAGTAGTAGTAGTAGTAGTAGTAGTAGTACTAGTAGTAGCCACATCCATGCTCGCTCTTTTACAAGACAATGTCGAAGCAAGCGATCCTTTTTCCTGCGGCGGCGACGTCGCTTGCTCGCTCTTTCGCAAGACAGCGTCGAAGAGAGAGAGAGAGAGAGAGAGAGAGAGAGAGAGAGAGAGAGAGAGAGAGAGAGAGAGAGAGAGAGAGAGAGAGAGAGAGAGAGAGAGAGAGAGAGAGAGAGAGAGAGATAGAGAAAGAGAGAACCCCCCCCCTTCCCCTCCCCCCCCGCTTCTCCTCTCGACATCTTCGCAGGCTGCTGCCGCCTGTCTGTGTTCTGGCGGCTGGGGCCGGGGAGGCCGGGGAGCTCGATCGCGGACGGACCCCTGGAACCCTAGCACGAAGAACGCTGCATTTTCTTAAGCTCCGACGCTGGGATGATTGTGTACGCTTCCGCGTCTTGAACATTGTCTTGGTTTCAGTGGGATGTGATCAAGGAAAAAACAGGGAGGATAGCTTGTATTGATGGTGACTTTAGAGTGTGGCATCAGGATGCTGGTTCTTGCCTTGATTCGTACAAAGACGCAGTATGAGAGATTGGGGGTTCGGAGGGTCCTTCTTTGGAATGATACCATTCTCAAGGTTCCGTTCCTTTTCTGTTGATTATAAGCGCATAGTTATTCGGAGGGCGCTTGTTTTGGATTCGATGCCGTATTGAGTATTCTTTCTGTTCATTGTAGGCGAATTCAAGTCGCCCACAGCGGGCAAGCGATGACGCGGGACGGTGTACTTCAATCTGGAAAGGCCGTGAGAGATCTTGCGCGATGGCCCCGCGTAACCTGTTGAGATGCGGACACTGGTGGAGAAAGAGTCTGTCGAGCAGAAGTGCAGGACGTGCCGTGAGCCATCTTTCGCGATGCTCTGCGGGACCTGTGCGGAGAAGAGGATTCGCTGCGGTTCCGCCAAAAAGCACCCACGGATATGCCTTTCGAATGGAATGTGTCCGTCGACCCGGAGACTGGTCACTTCGGCGTGTGTCTGAAGGTCATGTGCCGGTCTTCTGACTGTCCCCAGCTATCTACAGCTGACCGCGACCGTCCCCAGCTATCTGAAGCTGATCGCGAAGAGACAACTGCCGGTTCACGATGATGGGCGACATCTGCTAGGAATTTAGACGTTCGTGGTTCTTGAGCAGGAACGAAACAAAAAGCGGTTTAGTCCCGTTCCCGTTCCTTCCTCGGCGATCGCTGGCGCGTCGCTGCCGGCGAGGCGGGTCACTGGGTTTAGCCCCTAGGATAATTTTCCACTCCGAACAATTCCACGAACCAAAAAAACGATGCAGATGTCGCCTTAAGTGGGGTTTCGCTTCCTCCTCTCTGTTACTGGATGTCGTCGATGTACGTCGTCCCGTTTGCGATGTCTGTCTAATGTAATTGATGCACTCGTTCAACGTTCGTTGCGATAGAGTGTAGTATAGTCTATAGCAGCAAACTCGGTGTGGGTGACCGCTTGTTGTACATGTTGCACTGCCTGGTTGGCTTCTTATAAGAGCCTGGAGATGTTGCATGCGGAAGTTGCAGCTAGTAGTGACAGTGATGCACGAGGTTTCCGAGGCTCGGTAGGCGTCCTCGGTCGAAGCTCCCCCGACATCTTGCGAGGCCAGCTGCTTTTGTGATGCCAGCGTGTGCTGAGTCGACGATGACGAGGTGTGGCACCCTGACCGATGGTATCCAAGCGCCGTAAGCAGGTATGATGAATGATGTGTGTGTGTGTGTGTGTGTGTGTGTGTATGTGTGTGTTTGGGGGGGGGGGGCGGGGCAAGCAGGAAATTGCCAACTCCGGATCTATTGCATGGTAAACGCCTCGCGTTGTTGTGCTGATGACGATTATGACGCTGAAGCATGAAGGCTCAAGTGTGCAGTTCTTCAGAACTTTCCATTGTTTCGTGAAGCGGTGTGCTTCTCCTTCTAGCGCTGGGTCTTCTGGTTTAGTTCTCGGTGGAGTGTGCTCCTGAGTGCCTCATGCCATGGCGCACGTGAACGACGGTCGGTACGCCAGTACGCCAAGAGAACGAGCCAAAAGAGAGCTCGTAGACAGATTGGTGAGTCTGGAGAAGAGGCAACGTGAGGATGAGACGACCGGGCTGGATGCGGCAGATATCGCTGACTTGGGTCGAGGAGTTCTCCGGGGACAATATCTGCGGGCGTGGCAAAAAGTGATTGCGGCTCAGCCCAGCTGGGTGTGGGAAAACGAAGACGAAACACCGGAGGATGAGAAGTCCGATGCAAGTGATCTGGAGGACATGGAAATTGGGGACGGTGTCCTGCGTGCAGCGAAAGCTGCTTTGGTTCGGTTGTGGCGACATGAGGTTGCAGAGAATGACCCAGAGCTCACTCAACGACAGCTGGGAGGAAGACAGGGCGCCTACCTGCGCGGTTTGGCAAACTTCTCCTGGCGCGATACGTTGGACGAAGCTCGGCGTCGTTTGGGCCTAGTCGCATGGAAGCGTTGGGTGGAACAGGTTCGGATTATGCAAGGTCCGCGCGATCCATAAATGAGTATGGTTGTTCTGGCTCGCTAGCCGGGCAACGGACTTAGTCTTGTGAAAGTTAGGTGCTGCGGAACTGCATGGACGCTGTCTTGCGAAAGTGCGGGGCTGCGGTCACCTCGTGGCCGAGGTGTTGATTCCTCGCAGGGCTGGCTGCGCTTGCTGCGGCAATGATAAAATGCATTTGTTTTTTTTTTGCACATGAGTGAAAAACATGTCGCTGTGTTCGAATGTAGTTTCAAGCATTGGGTCGGTGGATTGAGGTACGTGGCAGAAAGCAGCATTCACGTCCTGTGTCGTCGCAAGGGCCTTATCAGCGAGATCGATGCTAGTGTGTGCGGAAGGGGCAGAGGGGGCAGGGGGTGAAAGTTACTGTGCAAGTGTTATGACTCGAGTGCAAACGAGTGTGAGTCGCCATGGACCCGTGCATGTCGAGCTCGTGGTCATGGTATGAAAGTCGTCGTGAGGGCTACGCATCGTTCTCCGACCGATCATGGTTCGCTGAGAAGGGCAAGGACGCAACAGACACATGGTGCCATTCGGAGAAACGCAAGGACGTGAAACCTTCCTGGTGCGGTTCGGAAGAGTCTAAGGGAAAGGCCTCTACCGTGTCGACTTCGCAAGAAAACGATGGCTGGCAGAAGTGGACATGGCAAGATTCGTCGTATTTTGCCGATGGAAACAATGGCTGGGAGGACTCGACATGGCAAGATTCGTCTTGGTGGTCATGGAATGATCCAAAGGAGGCACCCGCTCGACTGAAATCATCCGCTGCCGCACACCGGGATACGACTGCCTCCAAGGAGCCGGAGGTTGTGGAGATCAGCAGCGATGATTCCTCAGAAAATTGGGGACAATGGGGACAAAAATGGAGTGGCCCATCAGGTGCGTCCTGGCCTTCAAGGGATTCCTGGTCGCAATGGGCTTCCAAGTCTCGAAAGGCACCAGTGGAAGCCCGAGAAGCAGAACCCAAGAGATACAAGTATGATCCGACCACCTCCAGGGGCAGGAGCAACCACGACGATTACGATTACGTGGACTGACGATTGAGTGCGGCTCCAGCCGCCGAATGGACGCTGTCTTGCGAAAGTTCGGTGACGCGCGGCCGGCCGTCGAATGAACGCTGTCTTGCGAAAGTTCGGCGTCGCAGAGCTGCGGTTTTCTTTTCACTCATGCGAAAGTTCGGCGACACACAGGCATTGTGGTGAAAATGCATTCGTTTCTGCACATGAGTGAAGCAGTAGCTTGGACCAGGAATGCAGTACGTTGTCTCAGGTTCTTCCTTACTCTCCATTGCGGTGCGACGTGGCTTGATTGAGATTCGCATGAGTTGTATGCAAGTCGCCGGCGCGAGATACTAAAAGTGTGCATGACTGTCGCAGGGCAAGTACCTTGCTGCCAGGCGCGGGAACTGAGACCAGCGGTGTCGACCACCAGCTCGACCGTGGAGGCCTGGCCCGTGGCATGTCGCAGTTACAGACATAGAGACAGAGAGAGAGAGAGAGAGAGAGAGAGAGAGAGAGAGAGAGGATGGGATTATAAGAGGCGAACAGAGGTGTAGTGTCTGCGCAGAGTCTCCAGCATTCTCCTGGGGCTTCACCAGCTTCTCCACTTAATCCTTAGGGCAACGCCGCGGGTGGCGGCCCTGTGCACAGTGAGTCGAATCGGGCTATGTCGCTTCCCTTGAGTTTTCTGATCGATGACTCTGTCACTTCTTTCACGGCGGAATCGGATGCGCGCACGGGGCAACCAACCCTCTCGGCCCGCTTTAGCATGGTCTTGAAAATGGAGATTCCTGCATTGGTGGAGCTGCTATCCAAGACGGCAGCGGCGGAGAAATCCCTGAACAAGTCCGCAAATCGAATTGCGTCAAGCTGTGGATCCCCTGAGACGGATGAGACCCGTCCGCCTATAAGGCTGAAACCGTCCTGTCCCCCAACGGCAAAAGTGATGGTGGACGAGTTTTCCAAACGGCCGACGCTCAGGGTACAGACCCACTTCAACTTGGATATGGACATGGCCGGACTTGTTGAGCTGCTCGCCCGCTTGGCAGGACTCACCGGGCAGCCGGAGAAAGCATCCTCTCCCGGGCTGACAGGCAAGACAAGGTCTGCCGGTGATGCGAGCAAGGCCAAGTCTCGTGATTATTGGAAAGATCGCCACGCTAAAAGGTTGACATTTTGGGAGCAGCCCATTCAGGAATTTCATGCGGAACTTCATGCGAAGTATCACCAGGACTACAAGTGGAGCAGTGCGGAGTTCGAGGGCGAGCAGCCTGTCTTTGTCATGTCTCGAGAGCAACAGTCCACATTCCGGGATTTGGTCTTCGATCCGCTCGAACTGCCTGAACGTCAAAGAGTGACTCATGCGAACTACAAGGAGGCGGACTCGAAGCGTTTTCCACAGCCTGAAGAGGAGCAAATGCAAGGTGGCGCGGTTGAGATAGGCTTGCATTCGCTTGGTTCTGCGAGTGCTAAAGACCAGGGGGTGGATTCTGAGAAGAACAGGGGTTCGATGATTTGCAGGAGACCCCGCGAACGCGAAGAGGGAAGGCTCTATCCTTCGAGTCCTGGTTGCAAACAACAGTAATTTTGCTCATCGCACGCTTGCCGCCGAATGGACGCCGTCTTGCGAAAGTTCGGTGGCGCTGCGGCCGGCCGTCGAATGGACGCTGTCTTGCGAAAGTTCGGCGGGGCAGGGCTGTTGGCTTCGTTTCACCGACGCGAAATGTTCGGCGACGCACAGTCAGGCATATGTGTGTGCAAGGGAAGCTTTCCGTCAGCTTGATAGTGGAGTCGGCAATTCCAGGCGGAGCCTTGTTGGGATTCCGGATCCCCCCCCCGTCCCCTTCTCACTACTGCTTGCCAACACCCCAGAGGTCTTTCTGCCCTCCAATCGAAGCTTCGAATGGAAAGGCCGGGGGTTCGGGCAGCGGGGGTTTAGGACTTAGACCAGCCTCCACCAGAGGCATTGGGGCTGGGTGCTGCGGTGTCTTCGTCCGGGCTTATGAATTCAACTTATCGGAATTTGGTATTTGTGTTTGGTTGCTTCGTGGTTTGTATGATCGGGACCTCGTTGCTTTGGGGCTGGGGGGTCTCGGGCATTGTGGTATTCGGGCCAAATGCCCTGCGGTATGCTTTGGCATTTTGTTCGGGGCTTTGGGTGTAGAGGTTTAGTGCATGGGTGAATTTCGTCGGGTGCTTTACAGGGCCTTGCGATGGTTTGGCTAGGTGCTTGCCAGCAGAGACTAGGCGTGGTCGAATCAGCGTCCAATTGGTCCGGCTGAAGGAAACAGTCTTCGGTGGTTCGCTGTTTTTTCAGCGTGTCCGAAATCTGGCCGTGAGTTGGATTGGCTTATGGCGTTGCAGCTCTCGTAGAGACGTCGCTTCAATTGAGTGTGGAAGTGCTTGTCTTCGTGAGTGTGATATCCTAAGCGTTTGGTGGTGCCCGCTCTCTAGGCTCTGCCTAGGCCAGCCGCGGCAGGCGGCATCGGCAGCGCAGGGTGCCCGCGGAGGACGCGGTCTTGCGAATTGCACCTGCCTCCAGTGGGCGCTCCTGACATCTGGTCCAGTGTGAACAGCTTCCCGAAAACGTTACGAGACAGGCGTGGCATTCGGTCTCGGAACAATCGACGACTTCTGGCATTGCGAGCTTTACAAAGCTGTCAAACATCGTGGCGGGAAAGAGAGCACATCGTGCATGCGCAATTCGTGCCCCCAGCTAGACCTTAGATAACACCTCGTCTAAGCCCTACTGACTGAGCTGCGAAGGTTGCTTTAGCCGTACTTCTTTTAAGGCCGGCTCTAGACACGGTGGCATCCAAACTCCTCAACAGCCCGATCTTTGGGTTTTAGCCTGGACCCTCCTCCGCCTCATGCCAGCAATCTGCCACAGCGGCAACACAGGCTGTTTCGGCTGCCGGCTCGCTTATTTCAGGTTTAGCTCTGACTTAAGGTAATTTAAGTGGCCACCGTCGTCTTGCCAGCAGTGTTTATGTTCTTACTTGTTTTGGTATGTGTACAACAACCAAAACAGTAGAGGCCGCATCTCTGACCCTTAGTGTCTTCTCTCCTAGCATCTGGAATGCAGCTACTTCCCACACTTGAAGGCTCGAAGATCCCATAATTAATCTGATCGGGTATCTTTTGTGTTGGGGCTGAAGGTCGCTCTGATTTAGGGTAAGTGCAGTTGCAATCGTAGTTTTTCTCCAGCCGTGTTTATGCCCCGTTTGTTTTGTAGACAGAGTGTACAACAACAACCAAAACAGCAGAGGCCGCCTGCCCGACCCTTAGTTTCTTTTCCTGTAGCATGGGAATGCAGCTACTTCCCACATTTGAAGCATTTCAAGGCCTGAAGTCTCCTGCGCCCCCCCCCCCCCGCTGGTAATGCGAACACCCCGGAATCCGATCAGGCATCTTCTGCGTTGCGGCCGAAGGTCGCGAACCCTGGTCTGGGTTGTGTGCGGTGAGTTGCATGTCGTCTTGCAAGCAGAAGGACTCTACGGGAAGGATCATCCGCGCCTTCGTGCGGGGACCTTATGTGGATGTATTCAGATCCTCGGCTGTCTCAGACCGGCATGTGTCGTATGATACTCTGCCCTGCACGTGATGTCAGTCTCGTGCAGCTTGGTTCAACATCAGCGGCATAGCAGCTTTGATCTGTTTGTGGGCTGTGCAGACGCCGTCTTGCGAAAGTACAGGGTGAGTAATGACAATTTCTGCCATGAATGAACTTCGTGTCTGCGTGGGCCTGACAGCCGATCAGTCGGATCGAGTCCTGGGCGGAGGGCAAGTGGGGGGTAGGCACGCTGCCGCAAGCCGCCGAATGGACGCTGTCTTGCGAAAGTTCGGCCGGCGCGGCGGAGCCCATTTCGTACGGTTAGCACGGCGATGATAAAAAGCATATGCGTCTGCACACGAGCGAAATGCGTGTTTTCGTGTGGACGCTGTCTTGCGAAGTTCAGTTGCTGATCCTGATCCTGGTCGCGGCGCCGGCAGTTTGGAGGACGCTGTCTTGCGAAGTCCAGCTGCCGGCGCCAGCAACTTGGAGGACGCTGTCTTGCGAAGTTCAGTTGCTGATCCGGATCCTGGTCGCGGCGCCGGCAGTTCGGAGGACGCTGTCTTGCGATCAGGCATCTTCTACGTCGTGGCCGAAGGTTGCGAAGCCAGGTCTGGGTTGTGTGCGGTGTTGTGCTCTTAACAGAAACGATCGTCGAGAAACTCGCATGTCGTCTTGCAAGCTGAAGGACTCTACGGGAAGCATCATCCGCGCCTTCGTGCGGGGACCTTATGTGGATGTATTCAGAGCCTCGGCTGTCTCAGACCGGCATGTGTCGTATGATACTCTGCCCTGCACGTGATGTCAGTCTCGCGCAGCTTGGTTCAACATCAGCGGCATAGCAGCTTTGATCTGTTTGTGGGCTGTGCAGACGCCGTCTTGCGAAAGCACAGGGTGAGTAATGACAATTTCTGCCATGAATGAACTTCGTGTCTTCGTGGGCCTGACAGCCGATCAGTCGGATCGAGTCCTGGGCGGAGGGCAAGTGGGGGGTACGCACAGGGGTCGCTAGCCGCCGAATGGACGCTGTCTTGCGAAAGTTCGGCCGGCGCGGCGGAGCCCATTTCGTACGGTTAGCACGGCGATGATAAAAAGCATATGCGTCTGCACACGAGCGAAATGCGTGTTTTCGTGTGGACGCTGTCTTGCGAAGTTCAGTTGCTGATCCTGATCCTGGTCGCGGCGCCGGCAGTTTGGAGGACGCTGTCTTGCGAAGTCCAGCTGCCGGCGCCAGCAACTTGGAGGACGCTGTCTTGCGAAGTTCAGTTGCTGATCCGGATCCTGGTCGCGGCGCCGGCAGTTCGGAGGACGCTGTCTTGCGATCAGGCATCTTCTACGTCGTGGCCGAAGGTTGCGAAGCCAGGTCTGGGTTGTGTGCGGTGTTGTGCTCTTAACAGAAACGATCGTCGAGAAACTCGCATGTCGTCTTGCAAGCTGAAGGACTCTACGGGAAGCATCATCCGTGCCTTCGTGCGGGGACCTTATGTGGATGTATTCAGAGCCTCGGCTGTCTCAGATCGGCATGTGTCGTATGATACTCTGCCCTGCACGTGATGTCAGTCTCGCGCAGCTTGGTTCAACATCAGCGGCATAGCAGCTTTGATCTGTTTGTGGGCTGTGCAGACGCCGTCTTGCGAAAGCACAGGGTGAGTAATGGCAATTTCTGCCATGAATGAACTTCGTGTCTTCGTGGGCCTGACAGCCGATCAGTCGGATCGAGTCCTGGCCGGAGGGCAAGTGGCGGGTACGCACAGGGGTCGCTGGGGATTGCGTCCTGACGCAGTCACAGCGCCTCGGCGGTGATACATCACAGCGATAAGTGTTAAGGCATCGTTTCAGTTGCTGTCGTTCGGAGGCCATTCAACGCTGCGTGGAGAGCGACTTACATTCATGGCAGGGAGGAGAGTGGACGCTTCATGGCGACCCGCATGCCGTGCGGGCCCATGAGATCACATTCACCGCGATCGGCTACATGACGCTGCTGGCATCTTGGAAAATCTCGTGAATTGCAGGGACACGACAGCATGCGCTTTTGTTTTGATCAGGATAAAGTGTCGCCAAGGAAATGCAACTGTTGGAGAAGACACCTGAGCGGACCCGGTGGTATCGTCTCCACATGCCACTTCGTGCCGAATTGCGCTCCGAGGACGGGACACTGCTATATACCCTTTCCGAAGGGTGGCAGAGTGCCTGAGCCGCTGGTGGGGCTTGGTTTGCTGTTTTTTTTTAACGATCGAGTGCAGCTCCGGCTGCCGCAAGCCGCCGAATGGACGCTGTCTTGCGAAAGTTCGACCGGCGCGGCGGAGCCCATTTCGCATGGTTAGCACGACGACGATAAAAACATATGCGTCTGCACACGAGCGAAATGCGTGTTTTCGTGTGCTATGAGTGCAGTTCTCTGCACGAGGTCCAGAAGCTGCTGCCTCGGTGCGAGGAGAAGGCACAGCAGCCGATCCTATCTGTTGACGTGCAACTGTGTTGCTGTGTTTTGATACTACGATTTGGCTCATGTCGTGTTGTCAAGTATTCAATATTCTACTTGTGAGCTTCGACGTGTGTTATCGAGTCTGAGCAGTTTTATGTCGCTGCTCCACCTGTACACACTTCTGCAGTGTTTGGCCTGAACCGCCTTGATAACCTCCCCGTGCGGAGCAGTGGACGCTGTCTTGCGAAAGCTGCATTCTGCTCGTGGGCTATATATGCGGCGGCCTCGTCCTGGCAATGAAATCGTCAGAGAGCGTGTGGCTGCTTTGTGCAATCGTGGTGCCGAGCAAGGAGGCGGTCATCGTCCTCCGCCTCCACCCCCGCTTCATGGAATGCGGACCCATAAGAAAGAATTTATGGTGATGCTTCATCGTGACAGCAGAGAGAGTAAGATCGGACTGAAATATGTCACTCGCACCATGGAGGTGTTCGAAGTCGTACCAGATGGGCTTGTTGACACGCACAACGCACTCATGGAGTCGATGCCTTCCTCGTCGTCGTGCCGTGTGCGGCGGGTGCAGAAAGGGGATAAGATCGTTTCCGTGAAC